TTTGTAACATGGAGAGGAGGAATAGAGGCAGTGGATTTAAAACTCAGTGCCTAGCGAGGTGTCGTTTTCTTACCTCCCCCTCTGCTGCTCTCCCCCCCTTCTGTCTTCTTTCTTCCTCTCCCTCCCTCTCTCTCCCTTCTTTCCTCCCCTGTTCACTCCCCCTCTCTTCTGCACTCCTCTGTTCCTCTTTATCCTCCTCTGGATAGATAGCTTCCTATTTTTATCTCCACGCTACCTTCCCGTTACATTTCCGAGCCCTCTGTGTTTTCTGTGTGTTTAAGCATTGTGCCTGATCATTCCTCTTCTTCCCCTGCCTTCCAGGCTCTAAGGTTCACTACAGATACCAGAATTCAAGGGACTGTCCCTCTTCTGGAACCCAATCCCTCTGTCCCTCTTTCCTCCTCAGCTGTCCCTCTTTTTGGCCAGATGTGTAGACCTCAGTAAAAAAAATAAAAATAAAAATGAAAACCTAGTAACCTAGTAAACCTAGTAAAGGTGACCTCTGGAAATGACAAAAAACATTCCTGCGCTGCAAAGGTTAAAGCATATCTGAACCCAAATCAGAAATGTAATATATTTCAGCTTACCAGTCTTTAAAGTGCCTGCTTTAGTTTTCTGTTTTTCTCTTTATTCTAATCTGGTGATCCGACCGGTAATTTTGTTACTTTTCAACTTACTTTAAAGCTGTCCAGCAAAGGTGACAGTTAAAGGGTTGAGGCAAACTGTTTACCACTGACAAGGGTAAGCTTTTATTTATTTATTTATGTAAATCTTTTATTCAAAAAGGAAAAAAAAATTTTTGCTGTAACTGCTTATAAAGTATGTGTATGTAAAGTGGAGTTCCGCTTTAATTTGTTAGTCAAGTCCATTTAAATATGCTAGTCTGGAGCTAGCCTCCCACCCCCGGACTGACAATGTTACTGTCCAAAGGTGCCTGTTTTACTACTTCATCCAGAATGCAGACACCCTAGGACAGGAAGTGTGTTGCTGGCAGGATCACCAACTGAAATGAATGCAAGCCGTACATGGTTTCGAATTCTGAACTATTTTTCGTCCAAAAATTGAAACATCGTTCGTTCTGTAATCCGATGGTGCCACCAATGATTTCGAACATAGGTAGTTTTTCACAAATTTTCCAGCGTGCCAGATAAAAAAAATGAGGAGGAACCACGAAAATGCCATTGCCCCACTAACAGAGCGAAAATCGGCCGATTATTCGTAGGTCCGATTTTGGTACGAAAATCGTTCAGAATTCAGAATTCAAACCATGTATGGCCTGCATTAGTAAGAACAAACAAAAAGAAAACTAATGCAGCCCCCATATTTAAAGCAGTATTAAAGTGGTTGTAAACTTTGTTTTTTAATTTTACCTACAGGTAAGCTTTATTATAAGTTAAAATGAATATCTCCTAAATGTGCCCGTTTAGGAGATATTCTCTCTTTTATTTAATCCATGTGCTCTGAAGGTAAGAGCTGTGTGCCGTGGCCCGGGTGACGTCATCGTGGCCTGGCCTGTCAAAATGCCAGAGCTCACGAACCCAGAAGGAAGACCTGGGTGAAGATTGAAGCCTCAACAGTGGTGACAGCGTGCCGCTGGAGGGCTTTGTTTTAAGGTAAGTTTTATATAATGTGTTAGTATGTGATGTGTACTAGCACATCATGACATTACCTTGCAGGGGACTTTTTTTTTCTTTTGTGCCTACGGTTTACTACCGCTTTAAACCCAAATAATGTGTGGCCGGTACAATGCACAGCTATTGGTCCTGCATTGCACATGATGACTTCAGCATCTATCCAGCGATCATATGCTGATATCATCATGTGTGAGGCAGAACTGACAACCATGCACTGTACCTGAGGATGGCGAGGGCCATTCACAACTCAGAGCTTTGCAGAGAAAAACCTGCTGGAGCAAGGATTAAGGTAAGTGCTGCACCCAGTTCCTCTAATGAGAGACTTTAAACAGTATTATACCCACAAGCAAATATTTATTATATTGCACTTACCACTTCATAGATATGATGGCTACATTATTATTATTATTGATTTATTTCAGGTACTTATATAGTACCATCAATTTATGTAGCGCTTTACATATATATTGTACATTCACATCAGTCCCTAACCCTCAAGGAGTGTACAATTTAAGGTCCTTAACATACAGTCATACATACACATACTAGGGCCAATTTAGACAGGATCCAATTAACCTACCAGCATGTCTTTGGACTGTGGGAGGAAACTGGAGTAAATACGATTCCTCCTGCGCTCCAGGACCCAGGCCAGTGGCGAGTAGGTGAAATCAAACCCAAACAAAACGACCACCAGAGCATGAAAGGTCGTGCAGCTCCAAAACAAGGCTGGGGATGCCCGAACAATACTGCAAAGTGAAAAAAACAAGAAGCGCACCAACCTTGCGCATTACCTCAGTAACCAAAATTTATTAGTAAAGGAATGGTACTCACAAACAGCGAAGAAAAACAGGCATGTAAGTCCTCCAAGGGACTTCAGAGACAAGAGGCCAGCGCGAATCCCATCATGGGGGTAGACACTCAGTACAGCTGACGCGTTTCGAAGGTCGTACCTTCTTCCTCAGGGCTCGCTGTTTGTGTCTACCCCCAATATTCCATTCCTTTACTAATAAATTTTGGTTACTGAGGTAATACGCAAGGTTGGTGTGCTTCTTGTTTTTTACACTTTGCAGGAAACTGGAGTACCCAGAGGAAACCCACACAGGCACAGGAAGAACATACAAAGTCCAGGCAGGAGGTATCATGGCTGGGATTTGAACCAATGACCGTAGGACTGGCAGGCAGAAGTGCTAACCATTTAGCTAGTGTGCTGCACTAGTTTTCTTTTTCAGGTTTTATTTTTATCTGGTGATCTGACCAGAAAGTCTTTTGTTTTTCAAAAGAACAAGCTCTCCTACAAAAGTATTATAGGGATGAGAGAAACCATTAAACACTGACAGGGGTGCTCACAATGATCAGCTTTTATTTATTAGGTAAAACTTTATCCTAAAAGAAAACACTTTGTTGTAACCGGTAATAAATGTGATCTGGAGCTCAGCTTTAATTTGTTATGGGCTTGCTTTCGATCTGCGCTGCCTGCGTCTATAGACAGAGAGAGATGTTGCAGATGGGCACAGTGCTGGATTGAGGGAAGGCTCAGGTAAGTATGGAGGGGGGAGTTAGGGGAGATACTACTATCTAAGCTATTATTACCTTAATGCAAGGAATACATTAGGGTAAAAAATGTTTAGGCTTTATAACCATTGTAAAGTGGAACTTCACTCTTTCATTCTGCATTGGCTATTTTGAATCTTTATGATACTAGCCTTAGTATATAGGAAGGTTTAGTACATTATATTTACTTGAATAAACTATTTTTTTTATGTTTCTTTAGTTACTTTCTGGTTTCCATGCCTAGGCAAATGATGTCATACATCCCAGGAGTCTTCAGGAGGGGAGGAGGGGTTTTCTCTAAGCACACCCATCTGCCTGCATGCATGAGTTAAGGGCAGATGGATTCTAGGAAGTAAATGCTACATGAATCATTTGCCCTCACTCAAGATTGCCACAGTCAGAAATGTTAGGGGCTGTTTTACAAAGTGATTTCTCGGCAAAATAAAGCATTGAGACATGGATGGGTGGGTTGGTTTGAATATTAAAAATAAATTAAATAGCGCTTTTGGTTTGTGATGCTCAGATGCTTTGTTTTTCCACCTTTACCACTTGCCCACTGCCCTATAGCAGGTGTACTGCTACAGGGCAGTTTTACTGTGCAAAATCACATAAATATACCTACCAGCGCTGCTATTGGCTCCTGAGGAGGTCAATCACCGGTTCCGGCTGGCAATTCCCGGCCGGGACCCGCTGATCGACGGCAAAGCTGAGAGGGGAGAGACCTGTGTGTAAACAACACAGATCTCTCTCCTGTCAGCATGGACATGCTACTTTCTATCTCTCTGTACAGCAGAGAGATAGAATGCAGCAGGTCTGCTTAGAGAAACAGCACATAGTACACAATAAAAACACTCCCTAACACACAGTAAACCATTTGATCACCCCAGATGTTAACCCCTTCCTGCCCAGTGTCAATAGTACAGTGTCAGTGCTTTTAATTATCACTGATCACTGTATTAATGTCACTGGAGATGTCAGTGGCAGTTAGTTCCCACCCAGTGTCAGAATGCCTGCCACAGTCCTGCTATAAGTCGCTGATCGCTGCCATTACTAGTATAAAAAAAAATACATATAAATTCCAGTATATATACCGCCATTTGTAGATGCTATAACTTTCACGTAAACCAATTAATATACGCATATTGGGATTTTTTTTAGCAAAGACATGTAGCAGAATACAGTTTGGCTTACATTTATTAAGAAATTATATTTTTAAAATTTTTTCATTGGATATGTGTAAAGCAAAAAGTCTAAAATATATGTATAGTTTTTTCAAAATTGTCAGTAATTTTATTGTTTATAGCGCAAAAAAATGAAAACGCAGAGATGATCAGATACCAATGAAAGAAAGCTCTATTTGTGGGAAAAAAAGTTACATAAATTTAATTTGGGTGCAGCGTTGCCTGACCACGTAATTGTCAGTTAAAGTGATGCAGTGCCGTATCACAAAAAATGGCCCAGTCAGGAAGGGGGGTAAATCTTATGGAGGGCAAGTGGTTAAGGATTGGCGTGGCCATGAAACTGAACACGGGAGATACAGCACTCTTTAAGCTGACCATACCAGCATGAATCTGCTTCTGTGCTTGACATGATCAGTTTGATAAGGGTACCAAGGAAATAACATATTCAATAAACACTCTATAGACTGTATTTATTAAATTATAACTAATGTCATATTTTTTTTAATTTTTGGACAGAGTGGAGAGGGATAGAACACCTGCTTTCATTGCTGTCTATACCCCCATTAAGGAGATTCACCCTCTCTATTTGCCCTCTTTACCATTATTACTGATAGTGAAAGTTAAAGTGTTATTAAACCCACAGTAAAATCAGTCTGTATATGCAGTAAAGCATGCTTGATACACTCACTGTGGAACCTAAGGGATTAATCCTCCACATTGTGCAAAAAAGAGGTTTGATTCTGTCTTCTCCGATCCTCCCCTTCTTCCAGTGTCCCCCTCTTAGCTCCTGATAAGACACATCGTGTGGAGTCACTCTGCACATGCTTCAGTTTGGTGTATATTGCTAGAGAGGTTTTTTTTTTCTTGGGAGAATGCATGTGATCAGCAAAGGGCCAATCAGTACTGTCCAGAAAGAGATCAGGGGTTCTGAATTCTCCTACAGCAAAATGAAAACTCCTCCTACAAGCTGTAACCAGTGCCCTTCTGGACACTGATAGAAGCCACAAGACTGCTATATACTGCTGATGAAAAAAGGTATTAGCAGTTAATATTTACAAGACTGCTCTAATTGCTAATGAGAAAAGGTATTTAATATACCTATTTAGTATATTTACTAAAATAATTGCACTTCAATGTTGTGTGTACTGTGAAAGACTTATTATAATGAATGCAGGTTCCTGGGTTTAGTAACACTTTAAGGAAATTTACACTTATTGGGTTGTCACCAGAACAGGATTAGGGAGGAAATCTTCCAATGGGGACACTAGTTCTAGTGACCCTGGTGACAACAAAGGATTTCCTCACTTTGAAGAAATTTTCCTGTTTTGGTCAAGGGGAGAGGAAGTGAAGGGAAATCTCCCCAAAAGGAGACTCTTGGCAAAAGAAATAAAAAGTACAGAGGTTATAACCCTCAAACACTCTATCCAAAATGAAAGAAAGGCTTGACTTTAGTTCTACTTTAATCACTTTAGAACTGCTCACCTGCAAAGTACTGTGGACGGGTGGCCGTTGTACGTTGCTGCCTACTTCCAGGGTTCGGATGCACGCCCCCCTGCCAGCACCCGCTGTGATTGTACACGGTGGGAGCCTGTCAGCAAGTCCCGGCCAATGATTCACGGCCAGGACCTGCTGATCGGCTGTGTACGATCAAGGCCAAGAGCTCTGTGTTGACATTCGACACTCTGTACACAGGGAGTGATCTGTCACTTTCTCATCCCTACAAAGCAAACCAGGGAGGAGAAACTGATAGACATCTTAGTAAAAGCAGCACACACAGTACACAGAGTACGGCACACATTTAACCCCTGATCGCCCTAGATGTTAACCCCTCCCCAGCCAGTGTCATTAGTACAGTGACAGTGTATAGTTTTATTACTGATCACTGTATTAATGTCACTGGTGATGTCAGTGGCAGTTAGTCAGTGTCAGATTGCCCCCTGCACTCCTGCAGCTCCATTATAAGTCGCTGATTGCCGCCACTAGTAGTATATATGAAACAAATCCAGTATATACCATAGTTTGTAGATGCTATAACTTTTACTCAAAACAATCAATATACACTTATTGAATTTTTTTTATCAAAAACATGTAGCAGAATACATTGTGGCCAAAATTTATGAAGAATTTTTTTTATTGGATATGTTTTATAGCAGAAGTAATTTTTTTCAAAATGTTCAGGTCTTTTTTCATTTATATTGCAAAAAAAAAAAAAAAACAGCGGTGATCAAATACCACCAAAAGAAAGCTCTATTTGAGTGAAAAAAATTATATAATTTTGGTTTCGGTTTAGAAAACTTAGTTGGACCTCGTTTATGTTCTGCACTGCTTATTCTGGACCAGCATCTTCTTTCTTCGACCACTGAGGATGTAACTCCTGCATACAGGGCAGCACAGTGGCTAAATGGTTATCACTTCTGCCTGGCAGTACTAGGGTCGTTGGCTCAAATCCCAGCCACAGCACCACCTGCCTGGAGCTTGCATGTTCTCCCTGTGCCTACGTGGGTTTCCTCCAGGTACTCCGGTTTCTTCTCACACTCCAAAGACATGCTGGTAGGTTAATTGGATCGTGTCTAATTTGGCCCTAGTATGTGTATGTCTGAATGTGAGTTAGGGACCTTAGATTGTACACCCCTTGAGGGTTAGGGACTGATGTGAATGTACAATATATATATGTGTGTAAAAGCGCTGCATAAATTGACAGCGCTATATAAGTACATAAAATAAATATGTTGCTGAAATCTTGTCATCTACACTACTCATGTGCTATAGGGGGTGTATAGTAAAACGTTGCTACCAAATAGGTAAAGAAGTATTTTACAGAAAAGACATACACAGTTTCAGACCTACTAGACGTCTTTTAAGTAGGGGTCTTCAGTTTTGCTTCAGGGATGCATCAATACCAATACCGGTATCGGTACCGATACCAAGTACTCGTACTCATGAAAATACTCCTGATACCTTAACCGGTACTTTGTGGTGTGATTTGCGTTAATGGACGCAAATTGCACCACAAAGATTAGCATGCGATTTGAACAGGAATGCAGTTCATGTCCAAATCACATGCGGTTTTCCCACTGCTCCTGTCCTTGTCATAGCTTGAGTTCACACAGGAGTGGTGCGGGAAACCTTCTTGCAGGCATCACATGCTGAGTCTCACTGGTAGGAGAGGAGAAAAAGCGGCGGGGATTTGAAATCTTTGCCGCTTTCTTTCCTTTCCTTGCAGCGATGACAGTACGGGCTAGATGGCATCTGATTGCTCATCTTCATCCATAATTGGTATCGGTGAGTACTTGACCGAAAGCAACGATACTCATACTTGCCGTTAAAAAACAATATTGGTGCATCCCTAGTTCTAATACACTAAGGGCCCACTCCTACTTCCAGCAGAGAAACTATTGCCATGTGCACAGTGGTACAAGTGCACAAGTGACATGGCCAGGCGTGTACGCTGTACAAATCAATAGCTCGTGCTCCCGCTGTTCACATGTATCCACTCATCAGAGCTATTCCATGCAATTAGGGACTCCAAACTCCATCCAGGACGCAGTTTACATCCAGGGATGGCATTTGCGGCTGCATACAAACTGGCCACAGCCAGTCGCCTAATTTTTATACAGACATAGCAAAGAGTCTTGCTGCGTACAGATGCCAAATCTGCATGCAGCAGCCTATCCACCCTTATTCATCCACCTTAACCACTTCAGCTTTGGAAAAATGTATCCCCTTTCATGACCAGGCCATTTTTTGCTATTCAGCTAACTGGTATTTGCATGGTAAGGCAGCACTGTACCCACGTAAAATGTATATTTTTTTTCTTTTTCTTTTGGTGGTATTTTATCACCACTGTTTTTTTTTGTATTATATAAATGAAAATATCCTGAAAAGTTTGAAAAAAAAAACATTTTTTACTTTCTGCTAGAAAATGTATCTAATTATAAAATAAATAGATTTCTTCACAACTTTAGACCAAAATGTATTCTGCTACATGTCTTTGGTAAAAACAAAAATCTCAATAAGTGGATATTGATTTGTTTGCGTGAAAGTTACATTGTCTGCAATATATACTAGAATTTGAATTCATTTATTTATTTTTATACTAGTAATAGCAGTGATCAGAATCTTATAGTGGGATTGTGCGGCGGGCAATCTGACACTAACTGGTGCTGTTGGTAACTGACTAAATGATACTGACATCTCCAGTGATGTTAATACAGTGATCAGTTCTAATACTATACACTGTCACTGTACTAATGACACTGGCAGGGAAGGGGTTGACATCTAGGGGCAATCAACTGTGTGCCTAACAATGGTTACTGTATGCTGTTTTTTACTAAGCAATGTGCCTGTTTTTACTCCCTGTTATGGAGGGAGAAAAAAACCAGCACACTGCTGCTGTCTGTAGAGTGTTGGGGCTCTCTTCTGTCATTCACTCAGCCGATCAGCCGGTACTGGCCATAAATCACTCATCCGATCAGCCGGTAGTGGCCATAAATCATTAGCCTGGCCCGCTGAGCGGTTCATACTGTAACAAATGACAGCACAGTCAGGGCAGTGAGCGAGTGCACCCCCTACCCGGAACAGCCGGATTACGTACATGTAAGTGATCCGGCGCAGTGGGGCTGCTTTTCTGCAGTATATTTGCGGTAGGCAGTTGCCAAGTGGTTAAACTTTTTTATGGTTTTGGATAGAGTAGGGGAAGGTTAAAACCACTGTCATTTTTTCCCTATCCCTGTCTCATTTGTGAGATTTCTCCTCACTTCTTGTCCTGTAGACATATCTTTCCAAATGAGGGAAATCCCCTCTGAGCAGGGGCGGACTGACAACTCATTGGGCCCCCAGGCAATAGGGGATCATGGGGCCCCTGTGTCCTTGCCCAAACTCAAAAAAGCCTATGAAAAAGGTATCAGGGGAATCTCATGGGGCCCCCTACTGACCCCGGGCCCTTGGGTAGTGCCTGAGTTTCCAAAGGGTCAGTCCCCCTGCCTCTGAGATATTTTTTTTGAGTCCATGGTGCAGTGTATACACACAAAAAGGTGCATAGGGAGTGTTTCTACTCCCCTCCCAAAAAGGAAAGACCTCCCTGACCCCGAGGACACAAGACACTCTGGTCCACCTAACCAAAAGGTCTGTTGGACTGCTGTCCTCATGGTCAACAGAAGCCAACCATCAAGTACTAGATAGAGGGTTCTCCTGAGAAGAGGGGAGCCGCTGCCCCCCTCTTCCTTATCTTACCCTATCCTACTCTACTCTACCCCTTCCCAGGCAGGGGAGGAAGGAACCTAAGGACCACACATCCTCCCCGTAGACTTCAGGCAAGCCCGCAAATCTGCACCTTACTATTCTTAGTGAGTGAAAAAAGACACATAAAAAGTGCAGTGACAAAACAGGTGGAGAAAAATAACTAAGGGTGCCAGTGTGCAATACAATGAATAGGCCTTGCAGCCTGATAACAAAAATTGCCCCAGTCCTGGCCAAAAGGCCTAGTACATGAGGGGATGTGCAGAAAAAAGAAGTGTGTTGTGGCCTAGTGCCTGTTCTCACAGTGGGGTTCCAGAGTAGACCCATAATGATACTAGGAGCAGCCCTGGGTCACTACTCCCAGAAGGCACTGCAGGTACACTGCAGGCTGTCTTCCATCCCAGCACTTAGCCAAACCAGATAGCACTACTTAACCCCTTCGTGTCTAAGAGTAAAATAAATCTTAAAGCCTAAGCACAATTTTGCAACTTTGACATGTGTTAACTACTTAGTGCATCCAGGTGGATTATATCTTGTTGTTTCAGGACAAATTGGACTTTCATTTGGTGGTAAATGGTTATGAATATCTCCTGATTTTTTTATAACATCAAAGGAAACTGACTGAAAAAAGTTAAAAAAAAAAACTATTTTTTTAAAAAATTCAGTTGTATATTTCTTGCTACTACCATAATCAACCACCAAAGAACAACCCAAATAATTTCTCATGCTCCTGACGATACGTAGTATGGCCCAGAAACAATAGTGTGCATTTTGCCTTTTTTTTTAATCCTACCACTAACTGACACTGATACAAATTTAAATATGAAAAAAAAAAATCCTGACAAAAAAAAAAATAATACTGACCCTGACCTTTGACCTAGGTCAAAGCTTGATTTAGGTATTTTTATTTATATATTTATTTATTTATTTAT